GTCATTATAGTCCATGTCATAATGGAAAAATATTTAAAGAGTCTTGCATATATGCCTGCCAAACTCAAAGTTCTATAGGGAATGGAAACGGTAGGAGATTGAAAACTGATAATGCAAATTCTCTTGAGGTACATGAGAGTAATTGAAGCCCTTCTTCAAATATTGAAAATGAAGCAGGGAAAAAAATGATTTGAGTTGAACGAACTTAAACAAGGCCACTAGTTTTCACTTTCATTTCACCAATTAAGTAGGAATCAATTTGACAAAAGCATGTCTGAAATGTTATCAATCCATGGAAGCTCAAACAGATAATACTCGGAATACCAACTGAAAATCATCCAACAATGCTATACAACAGTACCTTTCTAGGGAAACACCCTATTCACCACTGGCAACAATGACTAGAACTATAAATCTCATTCCCACTTGATATTTTCTAGAAACATTTGGTTCACACACCTGAAACCTCTCATGAACATTGTCCCAAACTAATACATGCTGGCTTACTTCAAGTGAAGAGTTAACTCATGGACTAGCTTGCTTCCTACAAGTTTACATTTCAATTTAAATGTAAGCTTGATGCATCTCTGGGGGAAAAAAGGGGGCTACTGAAACATCAAAGGCATTCATAAATCACTACATTCCAGTTAATGAGGCCACATGAATTCCAAAGTGGTAATCATTGAAATTGATAAAACATATGGGTGGCAAGGGAAACTGAGTGAAGAGACATTGAATGGTGTATCAACAGCATACATACACATTAACATAAATTCACATTTGCAAATGTCATAAATTGGAATAAGATGATTGCATGAGGCTCATATTCTGTCATCGTTTTCCTTAATTACTGCAATGCACTTTCTAAATATAAACTTGCTCAGATTACTTTGATATAAAATTGCCATATTTCAGTCTGGTAGAACAAAAGAATAAATTCTTCAATCAATTCAACTTCTGGCATTAAAAGGTGGGCTTTTACAAGTAGCATAGAAATACCAGCTGGCTTACTAATTTGGTTTCTTTCAATTCACAAAGGACTCTGCAATTAGACACAAAATATATTTATATATTCTTACCCAGGGCAGCACAACAAAAGTCCCTCATTTACAAAATACTTGTGGATCAACAAATCAACAAGGATTCACTTCTGGGAGCCAAATTTTCACAGGGATATATTTGTTAAAGCTGAACTTATGCACTTCAACTACACTTGCTTTCCTCTATCATGGTGCTGGAGGTAGTATTTCATTTAAGGGACAAAATTAAGAGGCTTAGAGAAAAGAACCTAGCCAATATCATATCACATGCCAGGTACATCATTAAAGTTGACATATCATTGAGATTTAGCTGGAATTTTCAATTTGCTGAGATCTTTTCCAAGAGACCTATGATTTACCAAGATTGGTTTGCAGTCCTTGCTCTCAAGCTCAAAATCCAAACACTTCATAACAACCCTCTCAACATCTTCCTACAAATTTCATCATTCCATGATGCATGCCTCTCTTTGAGTTGGCATATCAATCATTCTCCATTGATATATTACCATCCTTTTCAGTGGGAGGTGCCTAAGTAGGTAAAGATGACTAGTCTGATATGCAATTTGTGGAGATTTTGTCATGATGAGCAATCCAAGGGAAAATAAGGGACAATATGACCTTGAAAACATTCAAGGAAAGTTTCTTCCAGAAAAGGAATATATGTGCATCATTATGTTAACCTCAAAGGCAAACCATTCTGATTTTTGAGAAGTGCAACTTGGGGTGGTGCTCGGAAGAGTTTCCCAAACTACCACTAAGAAATACCTGAAATGCATCTAACATGATTTATTTCGAGAGAATATAATATTTTTCTTCGATTGCTGCCTCGATGCTTCGATTAGTTTCATCCTGTGCCATTTAAGACAACATTAAATCCTGGATCCTTGTAGCTCTTAATTAAAAATGCTATGGTCATCCTGTGATACGAAACATGGTAAGGTGATTTCAAAGCAATAGGAATCAACTTGTGTCCCTTTTTTCCTTTTACATCTTGCTAACACAACTTATGAGTTTATGTTGCACTAAATGCACAAAGTTGATTCTCATCAAACCCTTCCATCAAATATCATGCATATGGCTCTTTCTCAAATTCATATATACCTTCTATGTAATTAATAACCTAACATATTGCATGATA